GAGCATAATTGGACTGTGAATCTCAGTCTCATTTAGTTTTAAGCCCAGATGGGGGCCTATTCCCTTTTCTTCTGCATGTAGTGAGCTTTGGCTTAGACGTGCTCTGAACTACTATCTAGTTGATTAGGTTGTGTAAACATGGACAATTCCCATTTAAGTGATTTAGGGATCTAGAGGGAAATTTAGATCACCAAAATCTCCTGTAGGATGTTGTATAACATTAGCCATGGAAATATTTGGACCCTTTGCTAAATATCAAAGCCGTGTACATATTTAAACAATTCAATTATTTTTAAGGCTGTGCACAGCATTATTAAAATCTACTCATCTACTTAATTCCCTCAGGCCTGAGTTATTCCTTTATATGGAGCTACTACACACTGGAAACAGCTGCTGTCAGCAAAAACACCCTATCTGAAAACCTACAAAGCTTCACAAGCCTTAACAGCTTAACAGACCACTACAGAACAGAGGTGTGAAGTTTACTGAAGTCCAATTGATTAAAGTCACATGCCAGTCTTAGCTGGAAAGCAAAGAAAAGAGGCATTTATAAATATTTGGAAAAGTCTTTCAAACAGAGTTGGCAAGTACAGCTTCCTTGAAGATTTCTCTGTCTTTGTTGTGTTGGGATAGATCTGTAAGTAATTTAAGATAGTACAGATCCATCATTTTCAAAAGTACATCTGGGCTTACAGGAGCTGAGACTCTCACCCTGTGAATTTTAGAACACAGCAGGGGCTTATTTTGTATCCCTAAAATACCCTGCTGTGAAGTTAAAATTATTGCTTAACAATCATGTGTATTTTTTTTTTTAAAGAACCATTTGGCTCATGACTACAAATTTACCAGAAATAAATTTAGCTAGGGAAAATGTTTTGATGTAAGTAGAGTAATTGTCCTTTCTGGAAATTTGAAATAAATAGCAAATAAAATAAATAGCAACTAGAGACTATGATAGAGCATGATACAGTTTTTCAAAACTTCCAGGTAACTAGTGAAATCCTGTGTTGAGATGCAAGATTTTCTTTAATTCCAATCACTTGAATCAGAAGTTACCTTTATATATTTGCATTAAGGGTTGCCATGGGCACCATTTAATTTGTGGAGAAAATGGTGCAGACCTTCAGAAGAGAAGAGCCTTTCACAGTCACACCTGGTTCTCACCAAGCTCAAGGTATCTAGCTGGGGGTAGATGTGACAGCTGCAGCACGAAGAACAACCAAATGAGATTTTACTTTAAAATTATTAAAATAATATTACTTTGCAGACATGGAGATTTTAGATAAGAGAATACAGAGTGTGGAAACCTTAACAGGTATTCTACAGTAATTGCTGACTGATAAACTGCAAATGTAAGGAAAAAGCTCTTTCCTTATAAAATCCTTCCTTTAATAGACAACTTGCTTGAAAACTTCCAAAGATATTGTGCGAGAAAGGCCCTAGATGCAATTTTCTTCCTCTTCTTTATTTTTTTTTTTTTTTTTTTTTTTTTNGTAGAATTGGTTTTTAAAAGACTTCAAAACTTTATCTATGCAATACCAGATATTCAAACAGTGAATTATTAAAGTATTGATTTATTATCTGTAATTACTTTCATAACTCTGAAACTGAATATGGGTGAAGGTTTGTATTTCATACAAATAATTTGGAATAAAGAAATAGGTTAGAAATTAACAGAAATTACCATTCTGATATTTAGGAATCCTATTGTTTTTGGATTTTAGCTCCTTACTATAAAAAATCGGATAGGAGGCAAAATTATGAAATGAAAATAGTTTGTTACAGTAGCCTTTCATTATGAAGGTTGAAATAGAAAGAAGAATGATGGCAAACACACACTTTGAGCTTGCACAAAAAGAAAGACGTGGTGTCTGCTCTGAATTTAAAGGCTTTAGGAGATGATCTCAGGTGTTTTTGCAAATGCAAGCATGATTCAGCTGGTTGTATTTCCTTTCCAAAGGGTCCTGGGTTTGTGTCTCTTTTGTAAAAGTTAAATTGTGTCATAAGTGGTATTGATTAGTGTTAGATTGATCTGTGATTAATCCAAATCTGTGATTAATCCAAATTTGTGATTAATTTTGCTCCTTCTATAAAAATGGTTCTTGACCTGAAGGTGTGTCCTTAAACATTTGTGTCACTGCTCACAGTGCATACTGACACAGACAGTGTAAGTCCTATGAAAGAAAATAACAAGAACAGAGATTTGAGTTTATCCTGCAAAAACCTTTATAATTCTCTCCTTTAGCAGTTTTAAGAGCACAAATTTAGTTTATTGTTTCATTTTGTTTTTAAAGACATAGTTGGATGGACAACACACATAATTTTGGAAGTACAGGAAACGAGGAAATTATGATGCTTGGGTGTATCCAAACAAGACAGCTTTTGTAAATGGATGAAAATATTATACACAGATTTCAGCTCAGGTTGCAGAGGGAATATGCTGATTAAGGTATAGCAGTAGAGCTAATCAGTCTGTCAGAATTTAATAACCAAACGTCCTAAATTCTAGATAATGGAGAAAAAACTCTTTTATTTTTGTTTTTAGTACTGTCTCAGGGAGTTTTGTGCCCCTGGCTACACAATGATAATAATAATTTGATGAGGCAGCAAGTTGAAATAGGAGTTATAGTTAAGGTCCTTCAGGCAGAGATAATAGATCTTACAGTTGCTGGCAGCCTGACCTTCCTTTTACTTGTTATTCAAAGGAAAACCACCTTGCTCTTCTTCCATCAATATGTTGGGGTTTTATAAAAATAAAATAGTTATGACTGCTGAGCTTTGCATTAATGCCCTGTCTCTATGAAGGAGATTAAGGCATTTAGCATTCATATCATGCCAGACCCCCTGGATAAGGATGAAGGAGCCAGGGGCCTTCCTTGGCTGACAGAGGGTGGTTTTGGGCATGGGCTGAAGCTGATCTTTAGAGATCATGGGAACTCAAGGGCTGCTCAGAGCAGCACCTGGAGATGCTTCTGTGACTCTGAGGTAAACAGCACTGTGGAGCAGGTTTTCCTATGATATTCCTGGACATATACAGTCTGTTAAATTCTCACAGAGACAAAATGTGGGTGGTCTGGATCCTGTCATAGTATTGTTAGCAAAGAAATTATTCTAAAAGAATGACTTACTTAGAGTGAGAGCTACCTTGTTTGTCTAAAATTTAAAAATCTATGATTTGAACAAATTGTCATTTTATCTTCCAAAGAACACATTACCTCTGCCGTGTGGAATACCCATATGATCTGCACTGTCAGATTCTATTATTATTGTGACAGATACTGTAGCATATAAATTTTAAACTAATGAAAAAAATGTCATCTATCTTTTGGAACTAAATGTTCAAAGCACATCAGCTATTCAATTTGATAGATCATTCTTCAGACAGTTTGAGAAGAATTGCATATTAAAAATACAGTGAATGGGAGAAACCCTCACTTTTATCCAGCCTCACATTTCTTAAACTAATTCTTGAGAACTCATGAGAGGTCTACTTCCAGAAATGTTGCTTTACTCAAAGTAGCTGGGAAAAAAAAGGTAAATAACATATTTCTATATTAAAATAAATTTGATTTGAATAAAAAAAAATAAAGCAGGGTATTAGAACATACTAATGCCAGTTTTCTGTTTATTATGGTCTCCTGGAAATAGCTGAAAGGGGAAAGAATAACTGCAATTTATTGCTTTGATATTGTTCTGTAGGTGAATGGTATCAACATTTATGATTCTCTAATAAAAGAACACACACTTGGGTTTTATAGGCTAGAGCAGTTGATAAATTCCATTAAATATTTTAATGCAGACAACTTTTCTTATGGGAAAAAAACAAAAACCTTTGCAGGTTCCAGATGCAACAAAATTTTGAATACTTTTAAAAGCTGGACAGAAAATGAAGAGCTTGAAAGCTGAAACCCTTAGATAATTTCAGCTTGAAAACACTTGAACACAGGGACAAATATGAATCTAACCATGAAATTTCCTAGATTGTTTTGTTTGCATGTTCATTAGCATTTTCATATTAGCATATTCATTAGCATGTTTCATAAGCATTTTCTTATGTTTCAAATGATTCATTTCATCAATTAAATCATTGCTTAAAATATCAACAGGTGCCCATTATTGATGAGTGCAAAAACATCACACTCTATTCATGTATGACTTGTTACTCTCATCTTTCCTTTTTCTGTTACATACTTTTGGAAACCATAAAGTTTGTTATCAAACCATAGAGGATATAAACCTCAGATGAAATTACTCAGATTGAAGTTACTTAGAGTATAATTTCAACAAAGGTTATATTATTTTTATTGTAATTAATTTACAGGGACTCAGGAATGTAGTAGCTATTTACCCCCTTCCTCATTTTCTGAAAGTCAACATTTGAGGAATCCAGCATTACAGTTGGCTTCCAGGTGTTTTCCATTAATTTACTGGAAAAGGTTCTTTTACTTATTGGAAAAATAGGAAAAGAGAAACATTTCCTCAGAAGTTAAACAATCCTCACTTAGAATAACCTGTAAGGCTCCTCCTGTCAATGGAAATTTGGTTGCTTTTTCAAATGTGTTTCATTCTATGTTCTCAAAAGACAGAATGATACAAGGGCTTTTCTTCCCATCTTGTGTATGGTTTTGGTGCCTCAAGAGCCAATGCACAGAGAAGAAATCAGAACTTTTCAGGACTTATTTGGACAAAACAATGGGAACAGGAAACTTGTCACGTCCATACTCAGCTTCCTTCCAAACAAAGCCCTTGTACTGCTTTAGCAGCTAATGCTGAATAATAAATCAAGTTATAGGGGATAAGCTGAAGAATGGAAAAAACCAATTTTTTCACTCTAAAAGGGAAGACATTCTAATGTGAAGAAACTTTTCAGTCTGAAAAATCCATGACATTTAAAAAATAATCCCTGCAGTCTGATTAAATATGGAAATGATTTTTAGACAAAGGGAACACTTCACAATTCTGAGCTTGATATTTTTTTATTTATCTCCTACAGATTCAAACAATTTCAGAGGATATAACTAAACCACCTGTGGTTTACCACTGATCTTTACCATAAATCAGAAGAATGATGAAAATTATGGAAAAAGGTCAGTGAACTTTATTCCACTTCTCCTTCACTTATATCTTCTGTTATTTAAAATAAATAGTATTATTTTGTGCTACAATAACTTCTTGTTTTGGGGGGACAACAAATAATATCTGGGATGTTATTTACTTTCATTCCATAATAGAGTTTTGTTCATTTTCTGGTATGAAAAAGCCTCAGAGAAACACAGCAGGAACTCTAACACCAGATATTAAAACTGTTTTATTTTTTGGGAAAGCAATAACAGGCATTATTTATTTGATTTCAGCTTCATTGCATAAATAAGTAGTAGTTATCCTTTGCATTTTAGTGGAAGGAAAAATATCTAGCTTTGCTAGGATTTCATTATCAATGCAATGTAATAAGTGAAGTATTTTTCTTTGTTTTTTCCAAAGAAATATTTTAGAATGGGCTGAAGTACAAACACTGGGAAATGAGAAAAAGGTGGAGCCTTCTCCCTTACACAAAGCTGCACCGGGTTTTTGTCTGGGACTTCATCCAGTATTAATCAATTTTTAAAAAATGTTTGTCCATCAAAGACCAATCTGAACATATTTTTTTTCTTTTTTGAAACATAAGAAGTGTCCAATTCTTAGAAATACTCTGCATAAAAGAAAATCTTCAGTACAATATGTTCAACTTCTCCATAAATAATTTTACTGTATGAAATCAGAGCTTCTTATTATATTCGTTTTGATGTGCTGTGATTTTCCTGCTTCATGCTGTAGGTCATGCTGTGGGATTAGTAATACAGCCATTCTGCTACTGACTAGTAACTGACAGAAGCTGTTTTCATAACCTTTTTTGAAGATTGCAACATCTATATTTGTATTTCTGTTTTCCAGCTTATCTTGACTTTTCAAAATACTTGCAAGCTCCTTATCAGTAGAGTTGCAAAACTTGTAGTAAGGAATAAGTTCATTTTTTTAGCTAGCATGCTATTAGTTCAGGAAAAGTCACTTAAAAACATGAGCAAAAGAGTTTCAATATGTTCAAATTGTAACCTTGAAAGAAAAAGAAATGTTATCTTAAATAATCAAGCCTAATTATTCCGGACTTTAGAGATTATTATCAAACCTTCAGAGTCAAGTTAGATGTACTAGATGAGTCTGACTTCTGGATGGACTTCAGAAGATCCTTGAGAGCAAGATGCTTTGGCAGGCTGACCTTCGTCTGAAACACACAGGTACATGCACTCACCCAGCTGTGTGCTTGTGAAATGTTTTGTACAGCAATAACACTCCCATCTAATTTTTTTCCCTAAATCAGAGCATTGGACTTCACAGAGGAAAGTTTTCTTTATGCTTTAACAATATAAATATACAAAAAAATTGTACATGATATAATCTTGATTTTCGTGAACAGCGTAGAGTACGTATTTTTATACATGCGCCTAAAGATGAACCACCTTTGCAGGATGGAGAGAGTAGCATTGTGCCTGGGTTTCATGTTGCTGCCAAAAAGCCAGTTAAACAGATTAAGAGTTGTAGAAGCAGTATAAATTCTCAATCTAGATTAAAAAAACACAGTAGCAGTGGCCTTAGAAGTGATGAATCAGTGTAGTAAGGAAAAAAGCTCTTCCTGTACTTTCTCAGTTTGTAGTATGAAGGTGTGATCTGAAGTGTGAGTTTGAAGGCTTTTCCTGGATTTTAAAACATATTTTATTTTCTGTTGTGTTGCAATCCAATTAGTGAGAGGTGCCTCTGCCCAAACTAAATGCAGACAGATCACATGCCACAGGCAATAATATGAATTTTATTTAACAATTAATGTGAAGTAGATAGTAGAAAGGAATAGAAAAGGGGCCTAGGGAGAGAGAGAGTCCAAGCAGAAGAACTGCTGTGGGTCCAGGAGTGTCTCTTGGCCCTTCTTCACCCTGGATTTCTCAGTGGTGGGAGCTCCAGAGCCTTTCTTCTGTGGGTACCACCTTTATACAGTCCAGGTTTTGGTACCCATGGGGTGGTCACAGATGCTGTTCTGGATGATACATGCCTGGACAATTGCTTGCTTTCCCACAGTTTGTCACAGTGGGAATTTTTGTCTGGATGCATTAAGCAGGATATGCTAAGCAAATTGCCTCTGCCAGGCCTGGATTTAGTGCCTTTCTGTTGCAAATTCCTCCCTTCTGTGCTTATCTCAAATACCTGCTGTGGTGGCTTATCTTGTGACAAGATCCTTCTGCGGCCTTGACAGTGTTTGAGACAGGCAGCTGAGCTCTTTGAGAAAAGTATATTTGATGGTGTTTTGGCATTTGGAATTAAGTATTTAATATTTAGTGTTTTAGTAGATGGTTTGGTATTTTATAATTTAAGGTTGACTTCAAATTAGTTTCTTTTTTTCTACCCCTGAACATTGTTATTTTAATTCAAAATTTGCTACAATTTGACATTAATATGATATATTAACTATAATGATAGTATAAAGTCTTATGGAAATTATTTTTTTACACTGACTAATATAGCACTGTATTCTACTGTATTCTAACAAATAAACAATATGTTCTCAATATACACCATTATAAGCCCTACAGCTACTTTAAAAGAAAAGCAAAGCACAACACAACACAGAGAATTTCAAAGGATATCTAGTCGGATAAGTGCATGGTCTGCCCATGAAATACATTTTGACTGGAACTTAAACATAAAATGAAAGTTGAATTTCTGAAGGTTCATTTCCACTCTTAAGCAAAACAGAAAGGACATGGAACTCCTCATGCAGTAAAGGAAATTCAAATTGGAAGGGGCAATTTACAATTGTTGACAGGTCTTGCATCACTATTTCTCTGACTTGAACAACCTCATTTAAATACTCAGTGAAGGCAGGATGGACTTTGAGGAAAATCTTGATAGACAGTGAATGTTTTCTAATAATTTTCTTTTGCAGCCTCAGTTGAAATACTTTGCCACTAATTTATTTTTTGTCCTCCATCATTTTCTTATTTGAAATATTTTGTCACAAATTTTCAGATTAAATCAGTCATAATACAACTCAATATTAGTGATTTTTATTCTATGTGAAATAGTTTACAAATAGGAAAATAAAAACTATAAACATATACTAAGCAAATGGATTGTGTAGGAAAGAAGAAAGAGAAGAAAGGATGTATAAGTCCTCAAATCAAATAGTTTCAGGTTACCCATAAAGATCCATTGTCAGCTATCTGCAGTGTGGAAAGGGTGAGTTATGAACCTCACAGGAGCTGGCTTTTGTATTTTGTTTGCCTTGAGATGTGTATGTCTCAGCTAGTAGCTATTCACACACATTCTGTCATGCAGTGATGTGTTAAGGGTCATGGCAGGAAAAATTATAACAGATTCATTAAAAATCATGCTCATATTAATCTAAAACTAAGATACATTGCAAATAATGAATGGGCTCTGCCAAGTACTTCAAATGAACATGGCAAAATCTATTCAATAAATAATTCAGTTATGTGTGTCTTCTATTTTACAGAAACTTCTAAAGTGCTATAAGAAACATTTTTCTCAAAAAAAAGAACAAACTTTTGAGAGTGAGGCAAATCTCTCCAGCTGTAATGATAAAATACTTTTTAAGAACTATGACATGGAATACTCCTTCCACTGTATCTTTCAGAATTGTTTATTTGATCACAAAATGAGAAGAAAAGTTGAGGGCATAGATGTTTTAGGGTTATACTTAATTATGCTTGTCATTAAACATGTAATCTAAGGCATATATATTCCAAAATGGAAGGCCTCTTGTTATTCTTTACTTTTAAAAATGGGAGATATGTCATACCTGTGAGCTAAATACCTCCTTTGAATTCACATCTCTGAGTTTCCTAGAAAAACAATAATGCTAATGGAAGGTAGAGCATTTAATTTCAAATTTAGAGGCTTTTGTTGATAGTGTTATTTAAACCCAGGAAGGTTATACTTAATTATAGATATGGCAGTGTTTTTGACAGTTCAACCTCTTTAATGGATTATCTTTCCTCTTTTAAATATAAGAAGTAGGAATAATAAAAAAAATGAATCTACAAATTTAACAAGCTTCTTTTTATATGCTTAATAACTATCTTTGAAGAAGAATATACACCACACTGAGCTTTAAAAAACTGACAATATTTATTAAGCCACAAAAGAGCTTATGTAGCTTTGTGATTATGGACGGGAAAGAATTTTAAAAAAGGCAAAGTTAGCAAAAAAAAAAGCTTTAAAGTAAGCAGAAATTACATGTCAGTCATAGACATTAAAGCTGGCTGTTTTTAAACTCCAACTGCTAAGCCCTGGGCATGAAACAAGAAAATGATGAGGTAGGCTGAATGAAATGCACACAAATGCTAATGTTTAGAATCTTACCTAAAGTTAAAAATACAAATGCTTGCTTTAAGGAAGAGGTTTCAAATAAAATAAAAAAATCCATCACATATGTCTGTATGAATACAAATACGCTGAAATCCACACATACGGAATATGTTAGACTTTCCTTTTCTGTTGAGAAATTTTCCTACCGTATGCTCTAAAGGATACTGAATTTTGCTGTTACAGGAATGCAAAAATAAGGCATTTTACTGAATAAAACCACATGATTTTACTGGGGGAGGAAGGAACCTGGCAGTCTTGAAGTGGAGTAAGACTATTATCATTGCATACAATACAATCAGCACCAATTAAGTTATTTCCTGTTTCTTTTGGATGCTTGCTATGGTCAATCACAGCATTTGCTGAAGAACTCTGCAGAAAAATATGGCCTGAGAATGTTTCTTACAATAATTGTCAGGTATTGAAAAATTAAGTACTTGATTTAGGAAACCACATCTTAATTTGCTTATCTATGGCATTAGATATATTTACATGTGCCTACTATAAATGCACACTTACATGAGTGTGTGTTTTTGTGTGTAGAGTGTTGAAAAAATCAGTTTTGTTTCAACTGTGTTCATGTGCAAAATTCAGCAACATAATAAAAATTACAAAATAGATATCTATCATAAAAAACTCCAAACCAACAAACTACAAAACATTTCAAGTTAGAACATTACTACTTCTCTTTCCTGGCCCAGAGTCCTATTATGGATTTTCTTAGACTTCAAGAAGGGAGCACTGAGAAAGCAGTGGAAAGGGCAAGGATTCCCAAAACTTACAGCTACACTTACAGGCTACACTTTCCTCATTGAAGATGGGAAGAATCGCAGAGGAATCAGCTCACATATTTTCCAATGCATTTGTATTCCCTTCTCGGACTCCTCTGTCCTACAGACATTCTTCCACCCCAGTCTAATCACCTAGTGTGCAGCTGAACTGCAGCCAGTGGACTTGGTCTCACCACTTGAAGCAACCCTACTTTAAAGGGAAGAGCTGATGAAACTGTCAAACTCCACCAGTCTGAACAGAAAAATCTATAGTCTATAGGGGATCTGTCTCCCTTTTGTCTGCATCATGTTTTGCCTTAAATGATTGTTGATTTATATATCTAGAGTCAGCAGGAATACGTGACTCATAATAACCCTGTTATGCCATTGGACGTGCTATTGCTTGCTTTTGTTACTGCTACCATATTATTTCTGCTCACTCATAGTGTTTTTTTTATTACAAGTTCTTTTTTCCATGGACCTGGCTGTGAGCAGTACAGTCAGGCTGAAGCACTGCACGGGATCTTTGCATCCTTCCATCACAGTGATAAGCACTAGCTTTTGCAACATACAGTTCCATTTTCAATTTCCTACTATATGTGTTAAAATTAAACATGTTCAAATTAAAAGGCTGTTTTGAGTCTCAGCTAGGAGATCTGTCTTTATTGGAACACTTCATTAGTCAAGACTGTTTTTCAATTATTTGCAAATAAATGACTGTTTTTCATTTATTTGTCTTGTGTGTGCATGCATTTTTGTGTGTGTGTGCGTGCATCTTCAGAAATTACAATAGAGTATGGAAACAATGGTAACATCCCATCCAGAATGATCTCCCTAAGATATCACAAGAAAATAGTTTTAACAATAATAGCTGGCCACATGATGGACCCTTTAGTCCATTATTTTAGTCAAAAAACTTGAATAAATAATTGAATTTGTCCTAATAATAAGACAATAAATTATGTGACTATTGTAGATAAAACCTTGTGAAATATAAAGCCTTGATGTGATGGCAACTGCTCAACTCGTACCTTTGAGGAAAGAGCAGCACTAGCTGTTTGACTGAAATGTTGCAGGCAAATGTAAACTGCAAACAGCAGTTCCAAGAAAGTTGGAATACCAGAATAAGCTTTATTCTTCTATAAGAAATACCATTATGTTCTGAAAAGGAATACCATTATAAGGTAATCAATACTTTTTTTTATACGAGACAGATAAAGAACAAATAAAGCTCTTAATGTTGTTGTCTGTGTCAAAAATAAGTACCTTTATCTTTATAAAAGAAGTGGAAAAACAAAAGTCAACATTTAAAATTCCAGCATTCATGTCCTTTCATGATCTGACATGAAAAATGTAATTCAAAGGCCATCTAGCAAACTCCATAGCATTTTTGCATTGGGAATTCCCAAACAGACCTACCAAGGTCATGTGTCTGCTTTGTTTTACAGTCTGTTCTCCTGTGACACCACCAGTTTTTTTTGCTATTAATATATTAAACCAAGTGCATCAATACAGTTGCCATTAGAATAAAAATCTAATCTCCATTTTAAGAGCTGATGTGTTATAAAATAAAATAAAAAATATTTCTAGACATTGCCACAAATAGCACCTCAGGGATTTCATGTTTCTGAGCAGCAGCACTTAAAATCATGAACTCAGATGTCATACAGAAGTTACAAATACATATTTTTAAAGTAACAAGTACAGTAGCCAGGCACTTCACTGTTTTCTGTGCTCCAAGCCCTTATTCCCAGCAGCAAAAAAAACAGTGCAGAGATGCAGCACGTAATAGGTTCAGGAAAGGTGCACATATCATTGCACATTCGTTGTCACTGGAAATGGGCTAGGTACACCAGTGGAACAATGTAAACTTGAATCCTGACAGAAAGATTCACACTGCAGGTCGTTTTTCACAAGCTTTCTGAAGGTGACATTTAATCTCATGAATTTTCATCAGAAAATATATTTCACTCCATACAGGTAAAATCTGTTGTCTTAACTATATGCAGTGAATACTCTTATCTGAAATTTGCAAGCATTTATCAAGTCAAGAATAAAGGTGTGCACTCTGATGCATCTGTCACAATTAAGAGCTGTATCTCAGCCACCAAGTATTTGTGAAGGCTGCATATTTGTGAAGAAGTCTATGCAAATAAAGCATGAAATTTAGGAAAAAGAAAAAAGGAAAAAATACACCAAAATGATAATATTTATTAATATGGATGTAAGAGAGATATTGGACACAAATCCAAAAGCTACTCCCACACTAGTGAACGAATTAGTGATAGAATATATTTTTTTTGGCTAGTGTCAAAGACCTGCTGCTACATCCTTATCATTAAGTTCTCACCCACCAAAATTCTTGTGCTTATATATCACATTGGATTTTTCCAGGGGAGCATAGGAGGCAAAAAAAGTAGTAGTGCCCTTGAGCTTCTTGTCATGAATGTAGGTGATGGCTTTCCAGTACTTTTCTTTTCTATCTAGAAATATATTGTTTATTTTTATGGAAATAGTGTGAAAAGCTAAATATGCAACTATGGTGGATGTTAATTATTGCAAATGCTGCTTCATGACAGTCAATTGTATACTTTATTATAATCTTCAATTCAAAATGGTTCTAAGAAGTGGTAAATTCCTATTTTCAAAAATGACCCTAAGACACCAGGAAACAGGGTTCACTAGCTGCAGAGTGTATACATGTATTTTTATTCCAAAATGGGTTTTTCTTGAATTTTTACTTACAGTATTTGAAAACTTACTTACTTACTTGGTGTCCTGCTGTGCTACGTACATGACAAGCTTCAAATAGAGATAACAGTCCTGGAACCAGTCACTTAAAAGCTAAAAATAAATGGTATAACTTAAGGCTTAAACAACCAGAGGGAGAGGAAAATAATTAGAAAAATTAAAAAGAAGAAAAAAACTGCTATGGACATTGCTCAGTGGAAACAAATGATATAAGAGCTATATCACTGAATCTGAACACAGCACAGAGCTTAGAGACAAAAACTATGAACCCATTATTTTCAAGAGAAAAACTACTCCATGGATTCTATAAAAATGTCTCTTCCTAACTACTTCATAGACATTTACAATCAGATGCCAGAACACACAGAGTGTGAAACAGTATTTTCTGAAAACACAGAGGAATCCCCTTCTAACAAACTTCCTTGCTTTTGTCTTTACATCTTTCTATAGGCAAGTCCTCTCTGAAAAACAGTTACATTCTTTTGCAAAACATTCGCTTGAGTGTCAGGAGCAAGACACAGTGAAAAAAAAAATTATCTGTTTGTCTGCCTTTTTCTCATCTATCACGAAAAAGACAAAACCATGTCAAGGAAGCAGGAAAAACGGAAGATATTTTATCACCATAATATACTGTAATACTTCCTTTATGATAGTCGCTTATTTATGTCATTTTTAGATTCTCTTACTGTTGAATATTCAGACAGTTTACATATGGAAAGATGACTATTTTCAGATAAATCTGTTTAGTCATCATTGTTAATTTATTTTCTTTCCCCTTTCATACCAATCTGTGATTTCTCTCTCCATTCCATTCATTTTGGCTGGAAATTTCAGGTGCATAGCCTTTTCCTTTCAGTAATTATTTCAAAAATTCTTTCATATTAGCAGAACTAGTGACTTTTCTCCTTTACTGTGAATCACAAAAATCTTTTTTGTTTCCAAAGCTAAAGAGTTTTGATCACAAATTTGATGAATGACAGAATGAGAATACCTTTAAAAATTATTATTCTTTCTTTTCCTTTTGCTTTAGGAAATGAGAAATATCCTGTAGTTTAAAACATAAATAAGCCATACAGCTACTTAAAAAAAAAAAAAAAGTCCTGTAGAGATTTGACATGACCAGTATCATAACACAAATTGTGCCATTTCAATACTTTTGTGCAGAGTTGTCGGTAATGTAGGTGAATAATTTTAACAGCTAATGCAATGGATCAGAATATTCCTCCAGGATGAGCAATGATGGAAATTGTTTGGGTCAGGCAGTCCTAAAGCATAATGTGTATTCTTTCTAAAATCTACAAGGACTGAAGAGAGAGGATATGTTAAACCTGCTTCCCAGTGGTTTTCAGTTTCATTTGAATATATTTCTGCACATAAGTCCATAGGTTTTAGTTAAAAAGACTTCTTATTTTTCTAGTTTGCTTACAATTTGTGCTTGTAAGATCATCTTAAATTAGAACCCATGCTGGCAGTATAAATGGGTGTATTTCTTTCTGCAATGAAACAAAGCACAAAAAAAGAAAAGGGGAAGTATCTTATTAAAACAGTAGGTATATCATAATAATTAGGTATATAGAATCAATGTGTTGGATTTTAATAGTATCTCAAGGGTTGTTAGATTAATTTTTCAATTGAACAAAGGTGAATTTTCAAAGATTTAACAAACATAGAATATTCTTTTCAAAGTGAAAATTCTTTCTCCCTCTTCCTCAAGTGAACTCCTTTGCTTAAGAAAACAAGAACTTGTTAAGTCATAAATGCAATTGTATTCTCTCAGGTAAGGAAAATGTGCAGACAGAGAATCAGTTCAGACTGTGAGCTAATGCAGCCTCCTCAGTGTGTCAGAAGAACTGTAAATCCTATATAGAAGATTTCACCCAAATGAAATGGATTTTAGCTATGCTCCTGCCCTGGATGGGTACTCTGAAGGTACCCATGAACTCTCTATTATTAATCAGAAAATTCACAGAGAGATGGAGACTCAGCACCCAGAAAATTCTGTGGCATTTCACTGCCCCACTTTTGCTGGAGAGAAAATTGTTATTTTGTATGGATTTTTGTTAAAGTGCCAATCACTTTTTAGTGATAGTAATACACCAGGAACTCTAGTTCCCACAGTGGAAATACAGACAATCAGAAAACATCCTACACATCTGCATCTCTACTTCATAAGGGAATAATTTTGAAAGAGAGATTGAGTCAGCATAGTATTAATAAATCCCAATTTTCTATCATAGCACAATAGAGAAATGTTAGCGGCTCATATTGGTAAAAATGTTTTAAAAACACTTTCATGGCTAAAATAACAGGATTAAAAAAAAACCAAAAACCATACAGGAATCTGTTTCTAGGTATTGGGTATCTTTCACCCATTCTTTATCTTTTGAGAAAATCACCACCTTCATTAAATGAGTCTCATTAATATCATACTCCAAGATATAAATGCTTCCATTTAGGCTGAAATTTAGTTAGCAAATGTATTTTGGTCCATATGGAATTGGCTTAATTAAGACAGACTAATATTTTGGGCCAAACTAATTAATAGATTAGGAGTGGATTCAGCTTTAAGATTTTTAGCAGTCTCTTAAAGTAGAGTCTCTCAGAGGGAGGCAGCTGCTCATCATTGACATGCAAGACTAATACATTCAGCTTGAAAATGAACCTGAGTAGTTCCAGCTGAGCTTTGCCACTGCAGGTATTGGAAATCTTCCTGTCACCTGAGTATTTCTAGTGCTTCTTTCATCTAATTAGCTCTCATATCCTAAACTAAAGTTATAGGAAAACTGGTGTACTCTTGCTGACTGAATTTGTAGTGGAGTAGAAAAGATCAAAGAGCGGAGAAGGCTGAAAACAGTGTCCTGCCATCTCCCATGGAACTGCAGCACTGCCACCCATTTCCAGAGACTGAGCAGGTGAGGTGGATAGGGCTTCCTTCAGGAGGGAGGAAAAGATGAAAGAGGTATAAAATAATATAAATGGGACCTGTATTACTTTCCTTCTTTTACTACTGTTCAGGTTACAAAACTCATCTAGTCTCCTGACTGTTACTGACCACTGTTTGTCACCTTTTCCTTCATTATGTTGCATGCATAATCACATCAACAGTATATTATGTTTATTTTATACTTATGCACTTCCAATAACACACCCAAGCCACCTGGACAGGATGTAGGTTTATAAAAGCTCTAAATCTTGAATTTGCTTACTTGAGTTAAAACCAGTCATGACAATATGATATTTTGAATTAGTTATTTAGTCCTTCAGTTTGTAACTTCTGAAATTGTTTTCTTTCAGATATAAGAATTGTACATGACCTTGCATCTTGTCTCAACACAGTGTTCTACTTTGGGAAAAATGTCTTCTTGGGAGTTGAAGATCAAACCCTCAGTGGATCAAGTCCTTGGACAAAAATTGTGATGGTATAAATTGCTTGAAATCCTACAATTATTGTTAAACATATCTAATCATACATATACATACTACATATATGTTTCTTGTGTGTATAGGCAACGAGAGTTTAGAAACAAAGAAAGCAGTACTCAAAACACACTACAGCATATGAATATTTCTATAGCAATTTTTTTGCTTTGAGTAACATATGAATGCTTCCTTAGAGTAGCCATATCATTATAATGACTCTTCTGATGTTTGTAAATTATGCTAACAATTATCTTTTTTACAAGCAAACATAAAAATTCACCACTATGTTAACACTGTGGTTAATATAGAGAAGGGATTTCTAAGACATACAGGTTTTAATTTACTGCTTTTTTCCTCCCACTTTATTGTACTTACCTTCCTTTGGATAAAGCAGTACAAAAATTTGCTAATTATTTTTCTCACTGCAATATGTTTGTAGTGCCACCTTTTAGTTTTTGTCCAGATTTCTTTGTGGAAGCAATGTTTCTGAAAATGGTATTCTTACAAGTTAATAAGGAAGGTATTACCTTAATCATATGTAGTTTCTTCTGTGAAATCAAGATGAAAGAAAAATATTTGAAGAGTTGACAGCTTTTATATTTTTGTGTTTTCTTGGTCAGAGCTCCTGCTGCTGCACAGCTCTCAATGTAAACAGTTTGCTAGAAAAACATTGGTGTTTTCTTTGTATTTTATTTCATTTGGAATTGATCATGCCTCTGCTTCCAGATCTACCAAGATTAAAAGTGCATCTGAATTAATGTCAGCTTTAGATATCTATTACAATGTCAGTAGCTTGAAATCTATTATATTAGTGTCACATATATCTAGTAATGTAGGAACACAAGTCTAGGAATAGGGATTTTTAGAGATCTGACCTGTTTATCCTCTTTTCTGTAATTTTCTGCCTGAAAATAAACAAACATCTGCTGGTTCACATTCTCTGAAATACCTAAGTGCCAATTTGTCATTGAAATCAGTTAGTAATTTCTAGCTAAGAATATTTAAAAGACATCAGCCTCAGTCTGCTGTCTGTATGATGGTTATTCAGTCGGGAGGTATCTTGAGATATCTTAACCTCAGTGTGCTTGCAGCACTGAAGGCCAACAGTGTCCTGGGCCACACAAGCAGGAGGGCTACCAGCTGCTCAAGGGATGTCACCCTTCTCCTCTAAAAAGCACTGCTGAGACACGTTTGAACTGCTGTCTTCTTTGTAGGAGAGAATTGGACATTCTGGATTCCAGCAAAGGGTCACAAATGCCATCAAGGAATGGGAGTGTCTGTTGTATGAGGAGAGGTTGAGAGAGGTCTCCCAGAAGAGAATGCCCTGTAGGAGCAATATCAATGTGTATATGTTTGCATGCTGTAAATATGAGCCAGTCGTAGCCAAGGAAATGACAAGAGACAATGACCACAAACTAAGATACAGGCAATTTAATTTAAACATCAGAAAATCACATTTACTTGAGAGGGTAAGACACTGGCACATGTTACCCAGAAAGTCTCTCAGCTGAAAAAATTCTCCAAAAACATACCTAATAGGCAGAATTAATTTAAAATGCAAGATACACACTTCTCCAAGTATGCAATTGAACTGTGTAGCACTGACTCACAGAATAAGCTGAGTTAGAAGGGGCCCATTAGGATCATTGAGTCCAGCTCCTGGTCCTGTGCAGGACAACCCAAGAGTGACACCATGTGCCTGACAGCAATGTCTAAACTCTGTCAGGTTTGGTGCTGTGTCCACTTCCCTGGGGAGCCTGTTCCAGTGCCTGAGCTCCCTCTGGGTGAAGAGCCTTTTCCTGATATCCAGCCTAAACTTCCCTGATACAGCTTCATGCCATTCTCTCAGGTCCTGTCTCTGATCACAGAGATGAGATCAGTACCTGCCCCTTCTCTTTCCCCCACAAGGAACCTGTAACTGCAATGAGGTCTCATCTCAGTCTCCTCCAGAGTGAACAGACCAAGTGACATTATCTGCTCCTCATATGGTTTCCCCTTGAGGCTCTTCCACCATCTTTGTTGCCCTGCTTTGGACACTCTCTGGTAGCTTAATATCTTACATTGCAGTGCCCAAAACTGCACACAATATTCAAGATGAGGCCGCCCCAGCTCAGAGCAGAGCAGGACAATCCCCTCCCTTGCCCAGCTGGCCACGTGTGACTGATGCCCCCAGGACATGCTGGGCCATCCTGGCTGCCAGGGCACTGCTGGCTCATGTCCAACTTTCACTGACCAGGACCCCCAGATTGCTTTCCAGTGTGCTGCTCTCCAGTTCCCTATACCTGGAAAAGCATGTGAAATCTTGAGAGTACCACATATTTCTTATTCATTAAAAGATCTTGGGATATTCTTTTTACTCACTCTCATTCCCTCCTGATCTCTCAAAATGCTGCCATACATCATACTGCAGAGGTTATATGTATTGTATAAATATTTTAGTCAAATCAATAAACAACTTAGATATGAAACAGAAACAGTGGGACACAGAATCATTCTATGAGCAAGGAATAAGATATGCTTCTCTGTGAAAATGCTAGGCCTAGAGCTCTTCAGATTTTCCTAAAATGTTAAATCACATCTGGATGGTTACATCAGAAGCTATAGTTTTATCATATTAAAAATTACCTCCTTTGAACAGAGAGAGGTTTGATGTTTATGCAGAGGGAATATAATGATCGATTTAACTTTAGAACAGACACTGGGCAAGACTGTGCATCATCAGCTCTGTTTACCTATTAAGGAAAAAAAATCATCTCTCAAAATACAAAACTTATTGTTAGAAAACTAGACAATATGTATGCTCAGAAATAAAAAAAATCAGCACAGCTTTTCTTATGCTGTAGAACAATTGCATAATTTTAGAAAAGCTAAGAAAAATTAGAACAACTAGGAGGATAAGAAATAAATATTTGCTGAGAAATAGAAGAAAAAACTGGTTACAACTGAAATGATGAAATTGTTATCATGTAAATATGAAGATAAAATGTACTGTAATGCTAAAGTAGTACTAGTCTTTTTAAGGGACTTGAAATAGAACTTAGGGAATCTATAGAGGTCTGGAATTACTACTGCTTCTTGTGGGAAGCTCACTCAGATTTCAAAAAGCAAAGTTTTCCTCATAGAGTATGAAATGAAACACATGCAGGTATTTGTCCTCAACATCTTTGTGCTTTTGAGACATGAATATCAAAGGAAACAGGACATTAAAAAGATTTTTGCTAAACTAAATTATTACAGATGAATGCTGTGAGTCAGTTATGACTTTTTCATGACTAAAAATAGAAGAGAAGCATCCAGGCATGAAAGACATCATTTGGTCTAATATTTTGTACCACTAAGGTGATCAGGTAAAGAAAATTCAGTTCTGTGAGGCCTGTATAGGCAAGTTACAATAACCTAGCTAGCCCTGTGGCACATAACAACGTCAGTCTGGTTGTAATGACATGACAGCTACTACAGGTTTGTAAACGTGCTTTGATAATATGAACAAAGAATATGTATTCAATAGAATATGCTAATTGGCAAAGACAAAAATCTGTGCCAGGCACCATGCTAACAAATAGATAGCATTGCACATTTCAGTTTGCTAGCATTGATACAAGTGTAGGTTCCAGCACCTGTTCAGGTGATTACTAAAGATGTCCTGGCTCTGAAGCATTCTGGTCTGTGCTACCCATACATAGGTACAGATAGCCCAGAGATTAAAATCTGGCTATCCTCCATACCTGATCAAAAAAGTGTTCTCTCTTAATTCTGTTATTACACCATCTCTTTTATTTTTTATCCCACAAAGCCCTTATTCTCAAGTCTAAATTCTCCATTGTGCTGTTGCTTATTATGTAATATGTTTACTGGACCCCTTTTACTGAATTCTTATCTCTTAACTCTGAATGGCATAAAATGTACAAATGTCAGGTATCTACGTCTCTCTCAATTCTCCCAGAAAGTCTGAGCTTGTGAACTCTTGCTTTTCAGCCTTTGCCATCTTCTGCTCCCCATTCACTACATAATGTAGCAAAAATTATCTTTTTTTTTAAAAAAGTCTTACTATTAGTGTATCAGAGCTTCCTCCTTTCCACAGTAAGTCACTCCTCCATTGTCAAGGAGCTGTTGTAAATTGGTTGATCCAAGTTAATCCAAGATGGAATTTGTGACCAACTATCATTCTCCATTGGAAGATGGAGGTGTGATCAACAGCAGTATTCCTAGACACTTTAACAACTTGATATGCTTTATCTTGTGTTTCTGCAAGATATGTTGCCTGTTTGTCTCATCCTTATATAAGACATTCTTTAATTTTAAAGAAGCTTGGACCTGGTTAGAACTGTCCTTTGTTGAGATTATTAAACATTTTCATATAGCAGGTTTATTATTATTGATTTACAAGCTTTTCAGATCAAAAAACCTTCAAAAACAACCCCGAAGTGATCTACCTAGATTCACCCTGAAAATTCTAATTCTTAATTTTTTTAACACTGGAATTTCAGTTTTAGCAGGTAAAGAAGTTTGAAAGGCTATTCCAGGGGGAGAGGGGAGATAGAGGGAATTTTATTTACTTTTTAACTTTAAAGAAATTGTTCCAGTTTTTTTTTTTTTTCCCTTTCTGAAGAAAAGCATATTGCCTAGCCTGCTGTAAAAAATGAATATATTCTTTTCAGTTATAATTTATAATATTCTTACACTCTTGACTGGGGCAAGATATAATCCAGCAATTAGCAATTAGTGTGCCTCACATTACACCCATGGATGTGTAGCCAAGCTAGGCTGAATGATCAGGGTAGACATAGAGCATCTTAATTTGGCTCAGTAATCTGGGCCAATCATGCCAAAAGATGGGCACCAGGAGTCTCACAGACTGATCTGGCTGCACTGAACTAAAATGCCAGGCTAAATCTGCAGTGAATCCTCCTGCCTCCACA